AAATACAGTATTTTAATAGGCTTGTAATAGAGCAAATACAGTATTTTAATAGGCTTGTAATAGAGCAAATACAGTATTACACACAAAATGGCTGCCAGTCAGTATATTCAATCAAATCCCAAACATGACATCATATACTGGTTTTCACAAGGTTTGAAAAAACAGAGAAATAGCTCTGAATTGACAGGCGCAACCCCAAATAGATAGTCCCATTTTTGGAGACAAAACATTTGTCTCTCTGCTTAAAACCTAAAGACACAATAAATTGTATCAAATCACTATTCATACAAACATGTAAAACATCTTGCTTGTATACATCTTTAGTTTCCCCAATTTTTTTATAAAATTATTATTTTTATTTATATTATAATTATTAAAATTATTATTATTTAATTCTTTCAATTAACTTCCATTTAATGAACTTACATTACTTACGGGTACACTGTCTATTCAAATAAAAAATTGTGTTATTTGCAAGAGAGAAAAACAAGGTGGGTCAAACACAACTCATCTCATTTTTTCTCAGTATATTCAAAACATAATTAAAACAAGTCATTGTTAATGACACAGTCCCCTTCCAAAATTGTGTGATCTGACATATCAATTTGATGCTGATGAAGTCATTGAGATTAGATTGAAACAATTAATAGGAGATGGATTTGTAAAAAAATATGATGATAAGATGATTACACGAGAATTGGACATTGGGCAGTCATATTGAATCAAATTACAAAAATAATGTTCATGTTGATGTATCTATTGGTATACTATCTTTGTACAAAATTTAAACAGAAACGTTCATTGGATTCAAGATAAAGTAGCATAGGTACCATGAAAAACAAGATGGCCACCAGTCACCACCATATTTGTTCGAATCACAAAAAAAAATGACGTGCACCTACAACCCAATATGTATGATCATCATACCAACTTTGATCCAAATCGGCCCAGTCATCTTCGAGAAACTGCTGCGGACACGTTTAGGTATCACAAATAGCAAATTTTACATCCAAAATGGCCGCCAGTAGGTCATTCCCCGATCATAAAGTAACTTGACGCGCATATGTAAGACATTATGTATTGTTTTCAAGTAAAGTTTGAATGAAATCCATCAATGGGTGTCCGAGATATTGCTCCAGGCGGACGTACGGATGGACGGAACGAACCCAAATTAATAGTCCCAGTTTTCCAAGTTCTTCCAAACGGGGACTAATTATTCATAGACACTATTTCAGTGTTCATCTTGCTGCTTAGTATTAACTTTGAGTAAATTTATATTTTTTTGCAGTAAGGTATTCGCAAATGAAACGCCAAATGCTGGGGCCAGATTGGGTAAAACTCCTAATGCAAAAGCCATATTGGGTAAAACCAACAATGCTGGGGCTAGATTAGCTGAAACCCCCAATGCTGGGGCCAGATTGGGTGAAACCCACAATGCATGGGCCATGTTGGGTGAAACCCACAATGCTGGGACCATATTGGGTGAAACCCACAATGCTGGGGCTAGATTAGCTGAAACCCCCAATGCTTGGGCCAGATTGGGTAAAACCGCCAATGCTGGGACCAAATTGGGTGAAACCCCTAATGCAAGGACCATATTGGGTGAAACCCACAATGCTGGAGCCAGATTAGCTGAAACCCCCAATGCTTGGGCCAGATTGGGTAAAACCGCCAATGCTGGGACCAAATTGGGTGAAACCCCTAATGCAAGGGCCATATTGGGTGAAATCCTCAATGCTGAGGCTATATTGGGTGAAACCCACAATGCTTGGACCATATTGGGTAATCTTAATAATGGATGACTCACCACAAGTGGGAAGAGCTAACTTCAACCTTTCTGTAATGGCGTAAAGTTGTATGGGTGTCATGTGATAAACCTCACCAGCTGACAGGATCATGTCTCCTTTCTCAAATAGCTCCTCAGCCAGTGCCTCCACCACTCCATGGATTTCCTAAAATGTAGACAGAGTCAAATAAATTGATGGCAAGTGTAGAAATTTGACAAAGAATATTCACGTCACACTGTCATTACCTGTCTTGTAGCCATTCTAACAAGTCAAATGTAGACGCTGCTTGAGACCATCGTTAATAACGCAGACAGGGCATACATTAGATGAATTACAATGAGTTCTTATTGTCATTATGTTAAATGTTATTTTGTGATTCACTCTTCATATTATTGGTTTTAAATTGAAATGTTTGAATGTATTACACAAAGTATATTATATAAAAATTACTGAAACATTTAAAACACTATTGTAATTCCCCAAAAATTGTAGTTTTGTACCAAATTTGTTGAGGTAGCGAGAAAAAAATGAATTTAAAAATAGATCTGTGATTCAGACATTCACTCACAGTTCAGCAACCTATATATCATCTGAAAGCTTAAATAGAGGTAAATACGACTGTGCCTATGTCATAGTGATTGTTTGCATTTCAAATGGAAAATGGAAGACAGTTTTCTCTCCAATTTAC